TTATCTTATATGAAAATTTAAACTTCATAGTAAAACAAAATGTTTTTCTAAAAACAAAAGTTGACCGGACGGATTTCACATTCGCCGATGTACGCTTTGATTATACTAAAATGATCGACAAAAAGTGTTATAAATATCTCTTTTGTTTTAAAATATTTTTTTCTTCGTGAAACTAAGAAATCTGCGAGATCAACAAATATGTTAATATAAGAAAATATAAACTTTACAGTAAATAAAAAAAGTTTAAAAAATTGAGCTGACGGATTTCGCTACAAATAATAAAGACCAGATCAACAAAAAATGTTGATATTTCTCATTTCTAACAATATTTTTCGGTGAAATTAATAAACCTTTAAGAAAAATAATTGTATAAATGGTACTGTATGTAAATACTAACTCAATAATAATAATAATAATAATAATAATATCTTTATTTAAAGAGAGTCACTCATTTAAATTTTAAAAACCCAATCGTAAGGTAATTCAAGACCATATCAAGACCACTTTCGGCTATTTTTTTGCCATACATTTTGTCCGTTTCGAGTAGCATTTTCATTTTTTGCACTTAAATCAAAACGTCATTTGCTTTCTCTTGCTTTAGTGAACGTCCCTTTGAGCGGGCCGCCATTTTAGAAATTAGCAACCTTTACGACGGACTCGAAACAGCGACGTCATAATACGGTCACGACACTATAGCGGCGCCGAGAGCGATGCGTATAAACAATAGTGTGATTTCCCTTTAATGAAAGGGATTCAGCACTTCAAACAATATTTGATATTTTTTTCAATTTAAGTAGGTTTTATAACTTTTAAAGACAAAAGTTTGTGTGCATTAGCTTGGGGAACAGCTTAAGATAAAGTTAGGGAAAAAAACTCACAAAATACTACAATATGAATATAAAATACAGGTTAATTCTTAATTAACACTAAACAAGCTAAGTATAAAGAAAAAATATTAAAATATATTTTTTATACATGTATAATCAGTCAGGGGACTTATTGAAATAATAAAATTGAGAATGGAAATGGGGAATGTGTCAAAGAGACAACAACCCAACCATAGAGCAGACAACAGATTTTTAAATCACTTATTTAAGTAGCAAATTCGAAGTTTTGTCACAAATTGTGATTTTGTAGTTTTACCAAAATTTTTAACACATAGGTTTGGATAATATCTTTTCATTAGTAAAATTGAAAAAAAAATGAACTTTTTGCTTCTTTTAAGCAGCAAGGTTTATGCCTTTGACACATGTTTGATGCAATCATTTAGCTGCAAATTATATTTTAATTGAAAAATTGCTATAAAAATGGCTTTACATAATGAACTGATACTTTCTTAACAGATTTTTCCCAGCAGTGGGAGTATTTTTCCTGTAAAATTCAAGGTTTCATCTTATAGATTTTGAAAAAAATTCTACTGTTCGCGATCAAAATTTCACTGTTTGGGGGTGTTTTAATAAGTGGGGGTAATTAAAATAATGATACTTAAAGAAGTGATTTTTTGGAAGGAAATTGAAGTATGATACTTGAACAAGTGATTTTTATGTCATTATCCTAGATTTAGAACAAGGTCATCACCTGACATGACCCGGTCATCCTATCAACACAGATGTTGGTTCTGATAATTTTAGCAACATAATTAGTCCCTGGATCATTAGTGTTCTATATTTAAAGCTAAAATAAAATTTAATCATTTAGTCTAGTGATTAATTTCAGACTACACAATGAATTTTATTTTTACAGGACATTCGGTCTGGTAAACAACCTAGCTTTACCAGACGGAATGAAATTTTACCAGACCATTTTTTTTTTTATCTAATTGTATAGTATCCGACAAAATACAAAAAACTTGTTGTGCCCTACTCCTCTCCAAAAACGCACAAAAACGAAATCATGTGTCAAAAGTGTAAAAGTGATGAAAGTTGTGCACAATTGCTTGAATGCATTTCAGTGATAAAGAAAAGTGATGTCATATTTTAATGGATTTGACCTGAAAATTATTTGTGAACTAAAATAATTTAGAGTTTCTGTATAAAATATTTCCTGTTTCTTCTTTCTTTTTCATATATCTTTTGGTTTTCAATTCTAGTGTTTATATTTCATAGCTGTATTTTATGACCTGCTTGGAATTTTTTTTATTTATTTATTGTATTTGATCGGCAAACCCGGAATATTTGCCTTATCTGTTCCCGGAATCTGATCTGGTATTTTCTACATTGTTGATTTCGTCAGTGAGATATGTTTTTACTGGGATTTACACATTACTTGTTGGCGATTTTCGGCATAAAGCTAGCGGTTGAACAAAATAAACATCGAATTTTGAGATCGTTTGGGAATTTTGCTAGAATGCTAGAAAAATCCATGAAAAAAAAACAACACCGGACATTCGGACCAGAATTCAACAAAATTTTACCAGACCGATCCATTATTCACCGGATTTGTCCGACGGTCCTACGAAATTCGTGTAGTCTGTAATTTGTACTATTTAAAAAGGTGATTATTAAAGAAAGACAACTCTTACTTCCAACCTTTATGGACATAATGTTACTTGAATCAGTGATTTAGAAAATCACTCATTTAAGTAAGTCCCCTGACTGATAATAAGGCAATATCTGGCACAATACCCGCAAGGGTACATAGTCACCATTAAACTCTATTAAGTAGTTGGGGATTAGCTTGTGTGTAACCAAAGGTACTAAATCTAGGATAATGACATAAAAATCACTTGTTTAAGTATCATACCTCAATTTCCCTCCAAAAAATCACTTCTTTAAGTATCATTATTTTAATTACCCCCACTACATGCACTAATTTCAACACCCCTGAACAGCGAAATTTTGATCGCGAACAGTAGAATTTTATTACATAATCTATAAGATGAAACCTTGAATTTTACAGGAAAAATACTCCCACTGCTGGGAAAATCTGTTAAGAAAGTATCAGTTCATTATGTAAAGCCATTTTTATAGCATTTTTTCAACTAAAATAGAATTTGCAGCTAAATGATTGCATCAAAGGCATAAACCTTGCTGCTTAAAAGAAGCAAAAAGTTCATTTTTTTCAATTTTACTTATCATGCTAATGAAAAGATATTATCTAAACCTATGTGTTTAAAATTTTGGTAAAACTACAAAATCACAATTTGTGACAAAACTTCGAATTTGCTACTTAAATAAGTGATTTAAAAATCACTTATTTCAATAAGTCTCCTGACTGATATACAAATTCTAATATCGTAGTCAACATATATTTAAACATGATACATACTGTATAATCATCCCTACTCATTAATGGTGATAAAATGATTTCGATATGAAATCTATGTATTAATTTCTTACAATATATTTGAATGAACATGATGAATGTCAGGTTGTCTCCTCTAACCATGCTAACATGTGTAATGAGATTTATATATTTGAATATGTATCAAAGGCACACTTTTGATCGTCCACCTTTGTTCATAAAATTGATTAACTGTATGTCAAATATTATATATAATTTTATCCCTTGAAAATATTTTAAAAATTGGGACCAGATTGACTTTAGATATCATGAATGTGGGAGGGATCGACGTGAAAGCTATAGTTTGGTTCTGTAGGCAAGGTAGTATATAAAAAAAGTCCTGAATAGTGTTAATAGGGTATGATAAGGGATTCTAAGGGCGGCCAAATCAGAAAATCCCAAATGGGAAAAGTCAGATATCTGAGGGTCGTAATGGGGGTACTTTCATGACGAATAACGGTAAAAAAATTTGCCAAATGAAGTTAACGGTAATTTTTGGTGCATGACGATAAAATGTACACTTTCTTTGAGACGATAAAAAAATTCAGCGACCCATCAGCGGTGATCAGTAACTTGACAATTATAATGAAAATGTGAAAATTAACACGCTGCGGGATCAAGTATTAAGGGACAGCGGCCTATTAAGACGCTGCGGGATCTACAAAAATATACAGAAGGTGTTGCAGCACCGCAGCGTCATATCGGCCTGGGGAGAACACTGATCTTGTCATGTGGTACGTCGTAGGAAGGCGTCACAGAAAAAAAATTAAAATAGCCTTTCAAGACGTCATAATTATTTGGACTAATCATATGGTGAAAATACATATTTGTAATGTTGAAGATGGTAGGGTGACTTTGGAAGTGGTTTCAGATTTGTTTATAAGGGGACGAAGTCCCCTATTACAGTACAAAAATCAATTAAAAAAAAAAATCGGGAAAATTTCCCGAAATTTTCATTGTACTAATGAACTCAAAATCGTTAACTTTTTTTTTGTAACCTTTTTTTAATTCCTGCATTTGCGCAGAAATCTACTTCCTTCTTCCGGTCTCGTTTGTCATGAGACTTTGAGTGGAATATATATTTATCAGTCCAGTAAAATATAGGAAGGAACACAATAACAATTTCATTTCTAATTATTCTTTGATATGAAAAAACGTTACCTGATGATAGCGTTTCTTTGTTTACATTGAATATGACGTCATAACTAAAATAACGTCACAACTAAAATCCCTAACAACAGAACCAAAATCGGAAACGTTACGGTATTTCCGTTTCTTTTTTAACAGATTTAGAACTTAAAATATGTTTGAATTAAAAAAAAAAAATTATATAGACTTCGTCCCCTTTCACAGGTAATGCCTGCCTCATATTATATCTGTTAAGTTATGAAAACTTGACAAAATCGTGCAATGATTGTCAAATAACCTTGTGTTCGTATTTCATTTGACTGCAACAATGAAGGATTGTGAATGGCGTTACTACTTGTGGAAATCATAGATTCAGCTCTTAAATTTTCATTCTGCTGGTCCCCTGAAGTTATACTCTCATCTGTGGACAGGTTTCCCTGGTCTGTATCTGTCATATTTGATCAACAAAATGTAATTCTTAGGAGAAAGTATCACTGCGTATGTATCGCTTTTGACCGGAAGTTCAGAATCAACCATTTTACTTCGACTGGTCCTGATTATTAGATTTTAAACTGGAACGACGTGGCTTGATAGGAAACCAGCTCAACATCAAACATGGCTGCTTTCGGCGTGAAACAAGTTTTGTCACTGTCTATTTTGTTGATTTTCATCGTTGAAACATTAGGAGGGTGTGTAATATTTTGTCTATTGATACTAGAAAATCTTATTTACATTTACACGTATTTTGTATTTACTGTGATAAAGATTTCTTGTTGAAAAATATACATTTTCCACCTATTCTTCCCTGTAGCAGACCACTTTTTGGCGTGGAGAGCTGTGATTGGTCGATTTTTGTTTTTATAGAAATAAGTCATTCTGATTTTAATTCACATAATACATGAAACTGTAGCACTAATTATTACAAAAAGTTCATGATTTAACACACGAAATTTGTATTTTACATTTACTTTGGTTTTCCAATGAAATATGATTCCAATAATTTCAGGATCACAACTGACACAACTTCACAAGGCTCAGACTACTACCATGACTACTGTACTTCAAAATCTTGCAATGATTTGTATAGAGTAGTCTTGCTTAATATTTGGACCTATTCCAAAAAGCAATAAGATCCATATTGTTTACTTATCTTAGTCCGTATGTTTATCATGTTTATATACAACTGTAGTCCAAATAATTATGACATCTTGAAAGGCTATTATATTTTTTTCTTTGACGCCTTACATCGACGTCATAACGCTGAACTCATATTTTCAGTTTGACTTTGAGAGGGAATTTACTGCTTTATAAAAACATTTAGCTGATTTATCCCCAAGATGCTTTATTTTGGGAGTATAAAATATATTTTTGAACCAAACTCAGTAAAATTTGACGGACCTGAATTTCCGGATAATATAAAACAAATGTTCCGGAAATTCGGGTCTATCAAATTTTACCGAGTTTGGTGCAAAAATTATTTTATAATCTCCTAAAAAGAAATCAGATAACGGTTTAAAAAAAAGCAGTCGACAAGTTTCCGCCTCGGATGGAATTGTAACTTATTTTATTATTACTGTAGGGATTAATTGGAAATATTTTGCACAAACAAACACATAAAAGGTAAGAATTTTTATATATGCAAAAAATTTAAACCTTCAATGAAAATTTTATTGCTAAATTGGGTCTCAAAGTTGAGAGCAAAATATGCTCTCAAAGTCCAACCGAAAATGGTGGCTTCAGCATTATGACGTCGCAGGAAGGCGTCAAAGCAAAAATTTAAATAGCCTTCCAAGACGTCATAATTATTTGGACTAATACAACTGCATCTTATTGTACACTGATTGCCTGATTCCAAGTGTTCAACTGTTCAATGTTCTAAGAATCTTACTTACTTGCTTAATGTTACTTAATGTTGTTTTCTGGGTCAGGATCCTCATGGTTCCTCTTCACCAGACTCATATATTATGTTTTGATCTGTATTATTTCTGTTGCTGCTTCCAGTTAATTTAGCTCAATAATCAGAATAATAGATTTCTTCGTATTCCCAGTGCTTATCCAGTCTATTCTTAAAAGCATTTATTGATGGAGCTTTTGTAACTTTATCTGGTAGCTTGTTCCATATTTTGGTGATTCTTACTGCAAAGCTATTTTTCCTCAAACTTGTTTTCACATGTTTCAATCATTGATGAATAATTTTGTTACTTTTAAATCTTAATGTGCTATTTCATGTATGTCTGCATCTGTGTTTGATATTGTGATATTAATTTGAGAAATGTACTTGTTTCTTGATCGTATTTTCCATTTAGTATCTTATATGCCCTCTGACTCTTCTATATCAGTCAAGGATATAACTCTATAGGGTTATTAGAGAAAAATAACATACGCTTGTTATTGTGGACAAAAAATCAAAGAACTGTGATAACATATGTATGTTACATGTTTCAAAAGGCCAATATACATCATTTGTTTTGATAGAATGTATACAAGTTCTATTGATATTGCTACTGTCTTTATGTATACTTAACTATAGAAAGATATAACAGTTCATAGTTTGCCAATCATGCATATCACACCTATGTTATTACAGAACAAATATGCCTGTAATAACTTAAGGGTGTTATTATAGCTTCTCTACATCACTTCAAAGCATTTGCTCAGACATAGATCATGCTCAATCACAATGTATTTTAATTTACTGTAAGAAGTAATGATCAGAGCATGTCATGAAGCTCTGCGCAAGATTCCCAATAATTCCCAAGTGTCTTATTTAATAAGTTACATGCCTTTAATAACTAAGCCTTGTTATTACAGCTAAGTTAATCACTTAAAAGCCTTGTCTCATTGATTTACAATGGTTAATGAAAATGTATTAATCTAAATTAATAGTTAGTTATCAAGGCTATGCGTTTAGTTTCTGCGCAAAGTTTCAAGAGTTCCCTAGAGCCCACTAAAAATAAAATATTTATGATTTATTTTACAAATAACAAACATATGTTATTACAGATTTAGTAAATTTAAGGATTAAAGAGTAGATAACTCATAAAAGTATCTGTAATAACACATGCAAGTTATTTTCTGTAATAACCCTATAGAGTTATATCCCTGACTGTATATGGCAACGTCATGTTCAGGAAAGTGCATACTGACACATCCATAGTACATTTGTACATTTAGTACGGCACCCAGAAGTCCAAGAAATGCTTTGTAGGATTATGGGTGAGATGGTTTTGGTAGTCCAAAGAATGCAGATTCTCTGGAAGACTATTTTTGATTTTGTGCTAAGACACCTTTGATTTGTAAGACTTAAAAAAAAAGCCATTATACATAGACAATACATATATATACCAAAAAAGGTCAATTCAGCTTGTTCAGCAGCATTTTATCACAACTCTATTTTACCCAACAATTATCTCAGGTTGTGGTTAGATTGATGAATTATTTGTCATTCTCTTGTTTCAATATAGGAGGGATTTTTATAAGATCCTTGGGGTCTCAAAAAGTGCAACAACTAACCAGATAAAGAAAGCCTACAGAAAAATGGCTAAAGAACTACATCCTGATAAAAGACAAGACGATGATGAAGAAGCTAATGAACAATTCCAGGACCTTGGGGCTGCTTATGAGGTATTTATTACCAGTAAAATAAAATGAATAATTATAGGACGTTAGGTTGATTTAATTCAATTTTAAAAGTATCACCCAAAAATTACCAACCATGAAAAACTAGCTCTCACAAGAAAAATATAACACCACTTTTAGCACTCTTGGCTATATCTTGGGGCCAGTTTTATTTGTGGAGAAAGCCGAAGTGTCTAGAGAGAATCACAACCATCAGCAAGTGAGCTGCGTCTGATAGAAATCGACCTTATGCAAATGAATATCAATACATCTGTTAACCATTAGGGGTTGACAAAATGTCTATGAAAGTCTGTAACTGTTTAAAAATTGAGTTGTTATATAAAGAACCCTACAAAACAGACCAAAATTCCTCTCTTACTTTGTATTTGAATGTTGCAAAATTAATCGAAGTCTTATACATGTACATGTTAACGTGTAATTGCTTAAAGGTTGATTTCTACCCGACGCAGCTGAAGTCTTTTTTCAACTAGAATTAGGGAAATGCGGTGGAGTCAAACATGCACCCGAACAATATCTAGACTGTAATGCACAATAAAAAAAAACTCCACAGTGATGTTACCAACAGGATTTTATCAAGTTAATTATATTTTACATGTTTTAGACAATTTGATAATTGAATTGCAGTGAATTAATTTTTTTACTTTCATGGTTATGCAGTAATTTTTTTTATAGTTCTAAGCAAAAATCATTTGTAAATTGATTAAATTATTAAAGGTATAAAAAAAATTCATCATGGTTTCTATGAGTAAATTTTAAGGACAAATTGACATACAACCTTAAATGACCTAAATTTCATGTCAGATTGAAAAATATCCCTTCTGTCCCTCCCACATTCATTTAAATGGAATATTCGTAATTGCACAGCTCTATTTAATTTTGTTTTGCAGGTTTTATCTGATACAGAAAAGAGAAAGATTTATGACAAGCACGGAGAAGAAGGCTTGAAAAAAGGAGATATGAGTGGTGATCCTTTCTCTAGGTAAAATAATACATGACTCATACTGTGATGTATTGCACCATTATGGCTCTTCCAAAATTAAATGCAAATGGGGTATGGGATGCACTTTTTTAAGACCCCATCACCCATGAAAAAAAACTTTTCATTTAAATCACAATTCTTACAAAATTCTAATGAAAATGCAACCACACATATTTGATTGATTTGAGTGCCTCCCATCTCCCCATCTGATACATTTTGGAACAGCCCTTAGAGTACCCAACATGAAACAGGATCAAAATTCTCAACAAGCCAAATGTTTTTTTTAACTTTTTCTTAACCATGCACAAATGAATTTTAAATTCAGAGCAAGGGTTCAGAAATTTTCAACTTGATTTTGGCCCTTTTCAAAACTTGACATGTAACATTTTCATCCCGGGGTCAGTAAAGTAGCAGTTTAGATCATTCTGTGTGTTGTCAAGTTAAATGAATATCTATAGCTACAACAATATGCCATCTTGGTATGTGATGTAATGTGAGCTATTCCAAAATTAAATGTAGGAGAATTGGGGTTCGGGTGTTGGAAGTAATTTTTCTGAAGAACATCCTACCATTCATTTTTAGTTAGAAATTAAATTTAATGCCTTATTTTACCAAACTACTAAATTTTTAATACAAGGTGCCTTTAACCTACCAATCCTTTCACATTAATTCTGGAATATTCATTGCTTTATGATACATGATTTATATAGATGTATAATAATTACTCCACAGGAGGGGACCAAGAGTAAAAGTAAAACAGTAAGAAGGGACAAAGGATAGTAGTGTAGTTACAAATCAGTGCATGCACAGTACTAAGAGTATGGTTTTCTGGTGAAAAACATAAAAAGAAAAAGTACTTAAATTAAAAACTTTCTGCACTTAAATTAAAAACTTTCTCAGTATGCTTTGAATCAAATGCTTGGTAGAATAAATTAAACATTTTATGCATAACACATTTCCAAGTCCATAAAATTCAAAATTAAGTCCTACTAGAACATACCCACAACATCATGAGAACTTGACTGAATTGAACGAGTTTATCTATTTTTGGACAGATTTGAAGTCATTGTATAGTAATTGATGAAGTGACTCAGTATTTAAAATTAGATGGACTGTTTTTTGCGCTTGCAGTAGAATTTTATTTGAACCTTTTCGTTTAATGACTAGGTTTCTTGCTTTCAGGCTTTTACTGTGAGCAGCTTGACATATGTTAAAGTGGAGCAGAAGTCGCTTAACTTGCTTACTATAGTAATAAGTAAGCCCTTCTAGTTTCATTTAGGGTTGACTGATGTGTAAATATTGATTTGTATAAAAGTAAATTCAATTAAGAAGAGCCCAACTCTAGCATAAACGATTACATAACATATTACATAAATAATAATTACATTCATTTAATTTTGATAGAATAATCTCCCTCTCCTCTCCCCCTCATAGAAGCAATTTTGGAGACATACATTCATTTACAACTTGTATAAGTTAACATACCGACTTCTTCGCCCTAGTCGCCTGGTAGCGTGAGCCCTGATAACATAACATTTCACACCCATCCATAGTGGCAATTTCAAGTTGCCTTCTTTTGGTCTCATGTATAAAGTTATAAACCCCTTTGAAAGGAATCCATGGAATTGGACCCGTGCAAAACAACCCTTTCTAAAATTTGATTTGATAACATTTTTGATCAGCAAAAGTTTTTTTTTCCAGAAAAATATACTACTTTGTTTCATGACTGAACTTAGATTTTTAGAAAACCCCATTTACACTTATTTCAATTTTATACATTTTCTGTTTAGAAATACCCCCCACCCGAAAAAAACATTACCAGTTTATATTTCATTGGTATGTGTAAAGTGCCTGGCTTCTGTTAGTTAAGCATATTTTTTCATGATATTAGATGACAAGGTTGTATATTTTTTTTTAAGACCTACAGAATTGAGATTTATAGTTTCATTTTGCATGATAGTTTGGTGATTGTAATCAGGTCACTTGACAGCAAAACTAGGGATTACATCTGTCTAGCATTGTTGCTCATTGTTAAAATCCCTACAGTGATCTATAGTTGCCATGTATACATCGTTTGGTGGAATGGTGTCTCATTTGCATTCATACCACATCTAATTTTGATATTAAAGACGGAAATTTATAGTTCAAACAATGAAAAAAAAAGTGAAACATTATTTTAATTCTTCTAGATGATATAAACATTGAAAAAGGATTTCAGATAAACTGAAAAGTTATGGTACAAAATAGAAACACATTATAATTTTTCCAGTCTCCTAGTTGATATAAACATAAAGATACTGATTTCAGATGAAATAACAAATTTCTGACTGATGTTTATTTATTTTTCAGTTTTTTCGGTGGTTTTGATTTTGGTTTTGGATTTGGAGGTCAGGAAAAAGATAGAGAGATTCCGAAAGGTGGAGATGTTACTATGAACCTAGATGTCACTTTAGAAGAATTATACAATGGAAATTTTATTGAGGTTTGTTAATTGATGTTTACCCTATTGTCCTATTCAAAAAAAAAAAAACAAAAAAAAAGAAATTTATATAGTTAGCATAGCTAATTTTGCAAAGAAGCACAACAGCATATAATGATTGATTTGATTAATTTTTGGTGTTCTAATGCCACTTTTAAGCACCGCTTTTGGGCTATTTCGTGGCAGCCAGTTTTTATTGGTGGAGGAAGACGGAGTTCCCCGGAGAAAACCACTGACCTTCAAGAGGAAAACTGACAATCCTAGTCAATTAAGATTGGACTTGAGTGCACCGGCACAAGCAGGGTTTGAACTCACAACCTCAGTGTTGACTGGCTAGTGATTACAGTAGTAACTACTTAGACCACTCGGCCACCGAGGCCCCAGCATATAATGATACACAATGACAAACTTGTGTCCTCAGAAAACATATTTTAACTTAATAGGCCGTTCAAATGTAAAATACAAAAAAGGACTTTAAAAATAAATAGGAGAAACTTCAACATGACCACAAGTAATAATTATTCCATCTAAAATAAAAAACTCATTCAAAATTGAAGTATCAACTTAACTGCTTTTAGTTTTCTGTCAAAAGTAAATTTTTACCAATAAAAAGCAATATCTATTATATAAATAAGAATATATATCAAGCGATACTATACATTTTCTGTACCTGTATTATTTATTTTTTATAAACCTCAGATTGACAGAAAAATAATCAGTTATTAGTAAAAGGGAGATAATTCTACAATTTTGTAGTTATTTTTAATAGCTTAACTGTTAAAGGAACATTTTCCAAGTTTTGACAAACATTGAAAGGTAAATTTATGTTGTAACTAATGTTACAGCCACTACACTTGAGTGGGCACAAAGTTCATTGAGGTTAAGTTGGGTTATTTTCTCGGTAGAGCATGAAATCATTAGTGTCTTTGTTTACCAACTATTGAAATGATAACAATATTTATTTTAGCCAATCAAATCTTTGGACAGGAAACAAATAGATGACTTAAAAGCCTATTCAGGTACCGAAAGGAGAACTTAGGGCTATTCCATTAAAATGTATGTGGGAGGATAGGAAGGGAAGTTTAATTATTGAATGTGGGTCATGGGTCTTTTTTCAGTATGCGTCTATTACCATTATGCAAAATTATCTAAAAAATGGTTCTTGGTTGGAGGGATATTTTGAAAGTCCCTTCCTACCCTCCCACATACATTTTAATGGAATAGCCCTTAACAACCTGTTTGACCAGTTGGTTTCTATATTTAGCAGGGTTCGACACTAACGCTAGTCCGCTAGCCTGAGGCTAGTAAAAATTAGGGAGGGCTAGTAAAGTTTTCATCACAGTAGTCCGATGGGCTAGTCAAAATTTTGTTTAAAACTAGGAATTTCACAAAATTTTAACTGTCAACAAATCCCAGATTTTTTGCTGACCTTTGCTGTATTTATTGTACAGTTTATTCACGTATATTTTGATTGTCAGACATTTTTTAACATGGAAGGTACTTTTTGGGAGGGGAAAGAAACGAAAACAATGATGGTACTTAATACATTGAAAACCACGTTTGTTACAAACGCCATGATGATTCTAATCAGAAACCTGGATCTCAAAAGTGCTTTCATAATATCAAAATAATAACATGAATACGAAATTTACCATCACTGTTTGGGGAAAATGTACAACTTATTGGGAGGAATTTTAAGCCATTTTTTTAGTAATTGGGAATTTTCTCTAGGGGAAAAAGCTGTATTTCGAATGTAATTTGAGGCAAACAATATCACTGAATTATTGTCATAAAAACTAAATTATAGGTCTCTGCAAGGATTTGTATACTATACAATTCCTTGGTCTCTGGTAAAAATATACAGATTTCTAGGAATAAAATCTTGTCCTGCAAAAAAAAAAAAAACAACAAAGGGAAAAGAAGGAGTCCATGAAGAATTATGACATAAAACAGCAAGGGCAAACCTTTCCTCTTTTGTGGGTGTATTTTAAAATCCCTAATTATCCATCTTCATTAAAGACACTAGTAATAATGATAAGTAAAATAAGGATGATGATGAAGTCATGATCTAAAGGGGTCTTCAAAATAAGTTGAACACATTCTTAATATAGATGATTAAAATATGATTTTTTTTTTGGTATTTTTTATTAGCAAACCAGTGAAATTTCATGAAACAAAACATGTTCAAAACCCTCTGGAAATGCTCCAGAACACAGGATTTAGCTTCATTTGTATCAAAATTTTAGATAGGGTCGTGCCGGTGGCACAACCAACCAAGTGCCTTTGGCACTTTGAGAACTAGTGAATTCACAAGAGGACTAGTAGAATAATAATTTACTAGCCCTGCAGGCTAGTACATACATTTAGTTAGTGTCAAACCCTGTTTAGGCAAAAAAAAATAATACATGTTTCCACTAACCCTACCATAATTTTTAGTGCCTACTCTAACACTTTTTATGCCATTTGGGAACAAGCACTGTTAAATTTAGACTGATCTCCCTAGAAGTAACCAGCTAAAAAATGTTTGTAAAATAAAATGATATTGCCTTTCTATCTACCCTATTTTTTTTTTCAGCACATTAGCGGAAACACATGTATTATTTTCTTTGGCCTTATTTATTAGCTAATAAAGAATTCATGGTTCATTTAACAAAAAAGTTCTAACTCATTCTGTAAATGTAATTGACCTTACTTTTTATAGATTATAAGGTATAAACCAGTAGCCAAACCAGCCAAGGGAACCAGAAAATGTAATTGTAGAACAGAAATGGTAACCCAGTCTTTAGGTCCTGGCAGGTTCCAGATGACACAACAGCAAGTCTGTGATGACTGTCCTAATGTCAAGTAAGTACACCTGTACTTTTAGTTATCTTGGTGTAATCAGGGGTGTACAGAATTTTATACCAGTGTTGAAAATTCATACATCCTGATGTACATGCGAAGGGTGTATGCATTTTCAACACAGGTGTTAAATTCTGTACACCCCTGATTTCACCAAGTTTCTCAGTAAATTTTTGAATTTTGGAAAAACACTTTCTTTTTCTTTTGCATTTGAACTTTATAAATTATGGCAAAATTTTTATTTTTGGAAATTTTGACAACATGTTATCCCCAGATGAACTGGGTGTGGTATTATTTACACTCTGGTAATTAACCAATCAGATTGCAAGATTCTTGCTTCATAAGAAATAACATTTCATATTGGCATCAGGAAAAGAAATAGCAGGATCTACATTCCTTCTTTCCCAACAAACTTAAAGTCATATGCAACTTCAAATTAAAAAAAATGATGCATATGTTTTTTATAACTAAATGTCTAGTTTTTATTATAAAACTTATGTACATATACTTTTTTCTCAAAAAAAAATCTATCATTTGTCCAAATTTAGAAGAAATTTACGTTTTTTTAATTGTTTGCTTCCAGTAAACAATTTACTGATATGTTTTCCGTATGCAGTGAACTCAGTGTGACCTTTCTCGTAAAAATCCGGTGATCTCAATACGCATGGATCTGTCATTGAAATAAACTATTATTTTATTGTACATGTTTGTTACACACATACTCAGTATCCATGTTTCTTTGTTGATTGTTTACTAAGGTGACAATCGGTAAACTACGGCTTCAAAACACGACAATTAATTAGCTGCCATATATTCACATCATAACAGACTGAGAGAAATTTTTTTTTGACGATTATACGATATGGATGTGTAAAAAATGATAAAATCGTGCTCGGAAGACTAAGTTTATGATATATACATGCATTGGTTCAATAATTGGATAAACATTATTTTTCACCAGTCTCTCGTTTCATATGACTTTATAAAGATCTCTGTTCAAATTCAATTTGATGTGAAAATATAAAAGATACTTCATGTTTATGGTGACAACATACATGTACATGTACAAATTAACTTCCAAAATGTAACTTTCAATGTGTTGTTTAGACATTGTTTACAAAATTATTCATATGAAACTGTTCTCCTTTGCCTAATACCTAAAGTATTTCTTATTTTCTGTTTTTGATTTCTACTTAAATAAAAATGGGACTTGATAAACCTTATATATGTTATATATCTTAAGATAATGAATAATAATTATTATAAATAAGAAGATGTGGTATGAGTGCCAATGAGACAACTATTCATTCAAGTCACAATGTGAAAAAAGTAAACAATTATATGTTTTTAATCTTTAGAATGGTGCCAGAAGAAAAAGTATTAGAGGTTGAAATAGAACCTGGAATGAGAGACGGACAAGAGTACCCCTTTGTAGCTGAAGGTAAACAAACTATTTAAAGAAAGTTAAATATAGATATTGTTGGTGTTGAGAGAATGGTGATTGCTTATGATTGAAGGGAGAAAACTTTGATGTAAGATAAAAATAAGGAGATTTGGTATGATTGCCAATGAAACAACTATCTGCCATTATTATATTATTGTTTGATCTCAGTTCTTCATTGGTTAAAATCCGATTATGACGTTGAATTTTCTTGCTTTCCTCTGAATCTCCTATTGTGACGGCATGAAAAAGGCGACCATGCCTGATGACATCACATAGAAAGAACACATCTTTTTGCAGATCATTCGAAAAGAAGGAATAAATTTGCCTGCGTTTTGTTTGAAAATCATTAGAGAAACAGATTCCACCACCAAATCTCGTGTAATATGATATTTATCCACTCTCGACAGTTTAATTTTAAATATTTAAAACGCTTGGCAAGCCCCTCGTTTTAAATTTGAAAATTTAACTGTCTCGAGTGGATAAATATCGTACCACACTCGATGCAGTGGTAGAATCTATATATATATATATATATATGGTGTGTGGATCATTTTTGATTGAATATCCATTTGTTGTATGCAAAGTTACTCAAAGAAAATATATTGATTGTGGGAAATTTTGAAATTCCCTTCCTTCCCTACCCCATCCATTTTAATGGACTAGTCCTTACAACTCCACCCACTATTTTCTGTTTTCAGGTGAGCCACATATAGACGGTGAACCTGGAGATTTAAGATTTAAAATCAGACAAATAAAGTAAGTACAATTTATTTTTATTATTTGTTCTTGGTTACCCTTAGTCTATTGTCTGAACTATTTATAGATAAATTTCTGCCAGTATTTTGTATGTATGAAAAGTATGATGCAATGTTGAAAAAGAACATCTTAGATGAAAAGTTTCCTTTTTTCTCTCAAGAATTGATTGTATAGGTGGGAAAGGGGGGGTCCAAAGGCATGGAGTATAATGGTTTACCTCTGTTTGTACATTGTTCCTCCTCATGTCCTTTAAAATCATTTTTCGTTTTATCAGAGTTCACTAAATTTTGCAGTTCTTGAAACTTTCAATTAACTGAATACTTATATATTTTCGACATAATTGCCATGAATGAACATTCATATCATTTTTCTTAGGAACTATAAATCAGAGCTTCTTTAAAATTTTGTAGCACTATCGGTATGTATTTTTTTTTCACACAAAGACAATTTGAAAGAAAGGGAGACAACTTCATGCAAGCAGTTCTACAATTCTATTTTATTAGGTTTTAACATAAACAAGTTGTCCATTCTACAGTACTATCTTATCTTTTTTTTCAGACATAGACAATTTGAGAGAAGGGGTGATGACTTGTTTACAAATGTAACTGTATCACTATCTGATGCCCTGACAGGTTTTGAAATGGAAATAAAACATTTAGATAATCATATGGTAGGTACCTAATAATAGATTGGTTTGTCTTTCCTCTGTGTGTTGGCTGCAAATATTAGGAAAATTCACCAAACCTTTCTCCCTTAAGGATGTTCACTCCTCTTGTTTTTGAATTTTTGCCAGATATTCAGAATCCTCTGGTTTTATCCATGTAGTAGCATTAAAAATTTTGCCCGCTAACCCTTACTTTTCTTTTCATAATTTTATGACATATAGTTTAAAAAGCCATATTTGAAAATCTTATAAAATCCTTATTATTTTTTCATACTTTTTGAAAGAAAAAGGTGCCAATGTTTAATGTATGAAAAATCTAGAGAGAATCATTACCCGCCAAATTTTCAGTGGTTTATATCTCGTGAACAAGCACACCGACTCTTCATTTTTTTCTGCTGATTTAGTTCCTTTATTTATATTATACTATCAATTTATAACAGTCTTTTAAAAAGCTTGTTATTTTGAAACAGAGTAGCGAACATCCTTAACTTTCTCTCTGAAAATAAAGAATATATTTCTGTCATAACAGTGAGGTAATAATAGGATGTTTTTATAGCAAATAATGTTTTCTAGAAGGATATAAATTTTCGCTTTCATGCTTTTTCAAAAGTGGAGAAAATTGTGGCTAGCAACTCCTTTAATATGTTGATTTGGTATGATTGACAATAAGACAACTCTCCGTCCGAGACCAAATGACGTAGAAGTTAACAACTATAGCTCACTGCATGAACTTCAACAATAAGCAAAACCCATACCGCATAGTCAGCTATAAAAGGCCCTGAAATGACAAATGTAAAACAATTAAATTAAATCAATATGTGTCAAACACCAGTAACCCTAAGTCTGTGACGAGTAAAAATTGGTTTGACAAATGTAAAACAATTCAGAGCTAATGAGAACTAATGGCCTGATTTATGTACAAAACAATACAGGAAAAACAAATATGATATACAGCAAAAAATTACAACCACTGAATTATAGACTCATGACTTGGGACAGGCACATGAAGAATGTGGCGGGGTTAAACATGTTTGATGGCGCCAAACCCTGTTCACAGCCTAGGACAATGGTGTAACAGTACAACATAAGAATAAGCTATAAAAATCTGTTGAAAAGCGCTTAAAACTCATCAGATCAATACAAAGCACCAAAAACAACAAACTAATAATATCACAAAAGACAAGTACAGATCTGAGAGTAATCGCAGTTTATACTGAAAGCTAGTTCAAAGCCAAACGCAACTAATAAAAAATAATGTTTCTAAGACTACAGATATTTAGTTTTTATTAAATGAAACAGTTGTCCGAACTTTTCTCTATATTCCTGTAGATAAGTGAATAATTATGATCGTTACTTACAGTGGAGTTTGCCTTTCCTCCTGGTTGACCCATTTGTTTGCAATACTTGAGGGGTTTAGACATTTGTGTCTTATCAACATATGTAGTTTCATTCTTAATTTCTGTATATTTGTAGGTAAATATAAAGAGAGACAAAATAACATGGCCAGGAGCCAGGATGAGAAAATCACACGAGGGGATGCCTAATTATGAAAATAACAACGTAAAAGGATCCTTATTTGTTACTTTTGATATTGATTTCCCTAAGGGAACACTTAATGATGAACAAATTGAAGGTAAGTTTATAGCTATTGCAAGTGCATTCTATATAAAAATAAGAAGATGTGGTATGATTGCCAATGAGACAACTCTCCACCAGAGATCAAATGACATAGAAGTTAACAACTATAGGTCACCGTTTAGCCTTCAACAATGAGCAAAACTCATACCCCATTATCAGCATTTAAAGGCCCCGAAATGACATGTAAAACAATTAGATTTAGTCAATATGCATAATGGGTCAAACAGCAGTAACCCTAAGTTCATGACCGAATAAAAATTGGTTTGAGCTAGTGAAAAGTTTCAAGAAATTACTTAGACGTATAAAACTATTTTCTTGAAGTGTGCTCTTGAACTAGTCCGTATAAATGTTTTTTTGTACAGACTGAAATTTTAGACTAAAATGGTCCAAACTAGATCTGGAATGTCTGACATAAAACGTAAAGGGTGTTTTTCATTTTCCCCCTAAGTGTGAACCTTTAGAGTTTATTTGTTACTGGTCTCCTGTCATTGGTGTCCTAAGGGACCAGTCAAACAACCATCAACAGTCTAAACTACCATACACTGTTAACATACTTTACACAGTTAAAATGGGGGCCTCAGTGTCTGACATCTACGAGATTGTAATTTTAAAACGTGCTTGTGGCATGCCACATGGTGTGTTCTACTCTGATCCTAATTGATAAGTATTGACATTTTTTCTGCCAAAGGTGTGGTTCTCAGGGGGGACTAGGCTTCCCCCTCCAATGAAAACTATAATGAGGCCAAGATAGCTAAAAGTTGATTAAAAAACAAACAAACAAACCACAGTCAAAACTAGAATATACAGTACAATGGTATCAGATTCTTCATACAAATACTTATAAGGGAAGGGAAACACCATTAGTCTTCATAGAATTTTTATGTATTTTGGGACATTTTGGTTATGGTTATTTCAGCAGTGATGGAAAAGTTGATTAAATAATTCTAGATCAGTTTAGAAACTTTTGAGGCTATCGCCTATTTATATTTAGCACAGTAAACAGCAGTTACTGAAAAAAGGTGGAAGAATTCAGATCTTAGAGACCACAGGGTTAATCAAAACTGATAAGTTGGGATTGACAAAAAACAAAAAAATGACAAAAAGACAACATTATACATATAAAACTTAAGACTGAGGAACACAAAGCTCATCCAAAAACACTATAAATAGACTGTAAATGTCTAAATTTATCCTTGAAGTGAATTTCATATTTTGTAATTTTATTTTTAGGTATCAAAAAGATATTAAACCAAGACACAGTTAAGACAGTTTATAATGGATTACAGATGGACCATTTCTCGTGATGAATGATATCATTAGGACGTGCTGTGTAAGGGATGTATAACTGATTCTTTTGGGAGTATGGATGAGAGCTTGATAAAATACCATTTTCATATTGCTGGATTTTACCATGACTGACATTAATTTTGTGCCAGTTGACCTGATTATATATGAAAGATGGACACTTCTGGTCTTGAAGGTCAAATGTTTTGTTTTTTTTTTTACAATTAAAAATATGGGGAAATGTTTTATTTCTTGCTATGTTGGACAAATTTGAAATTCATAGAAAAAACATTGGAAAATTTAGGTGTCTGAAATGGAATATAAGATTTTGTAAATTTTAAGTTGTACAGTAGTTCTATTTTTCATATATGGAGATTTTCTTAATTTCTTACATTTTGTATCAAAATACATGTACAGTTGATTTTCCTTCAAACTTGAACTTAAGATTGAGCATTATTGAGCCAGAGTCAGGAATGTGTGGTAGATTTATTAAGTTTTGGTTATTATCAAGCTTATGAGTGCATGGTACTTTGTTTTTATAAAGAAATCTCTTCTTTGACATGGCTTGTGTATTTTGTCTTTATCAAAGTGTATATGTATTGTCATTTTAAAAGGGCAATGAGTTGATTTACATATAAATGATACTGTAAATTCAGAAATTTTTGCATTTTTTGTGATTGTTGAACAGTTGACTCAAATGCAAGATTAAAAATTTAATGCAAGTTTTTATTGTTATTGCGAAACTCACTCCGTTGAAATTTCGCAATAATTAAATTATCACAAATATTTCAGGATTTGCAGTATACTTTCTATGTATCCCTGCTAATATTATGTGAGGACTTCAAATCACAACAAAGTACTACATTCATCACTGTTTGTTCAAAATAAATTCACACACACAAACACAGAAAAATAGTGATGTGAATGAATTCTCTTTGTCATAATTTCTCTTGAACATAACATTTGACACTTTTAAGGTGGTACCAAACACCTTGACTAAAATTTATTTGGCTTGTTTAATTTTCATAAGATTTTGACAAAGTATTTACTTTGACTCTTTGACAAAAATATAAAAAAATAAAAAACTTGAACCACACACTTTATCGGAAAAATTCATTGGCTATATAGCAGTTTGACAAACACTAATTTTGATCATAGAGAAGCTTAATATTTCCTTAACAATAGAACGTGATTGAAACATTCAGCTGATTTTTACAGAGTTATCTCCCTGTAGTGTCATGTACCACCTTAAAGATTATGGCTGTGTTTGGATATACGCCAGAGGTGGTCTATGGTTATCCATAGGTTCCTTTGGTTTGATATTCTATATATCAAAATATCAAACCATTGGTACCCAAAGATACCTATGGGTAACCATAGGCTGCCTTAGGCGTATATCCAAACACAGCCTATGTGAAAATATGAGATCTTTTATTGTGCAATTTTAGTTAAATTGAATTATGGATTGATAACACTGAATATTGAGTAAATGTATACACATTGCTGCAAATATTGAAATGCTATTTTTTTCTGTTTGCAAAGCCCAAACAAACAAATTTGATAAACTGTAAATTCAGAAATTACTGTGTGCAATTATTATTACGGTTTTGGAGACTGATAAAAAAATGTGAGATAAGTTATTGTGATTTTAGGAAAATCTTTATACAGATATGTTTATTAGATATCATAATGTGAGTTTTTACTATTGTGATACTCACCTTGTTGCGGGATTTTCTCGCTGTGTTGAAGACCCATTGGTGGCTCTTCGTTCGGGTTGTTGTCTCTTTGACACATTCCCCATTTCCATTCTTAATTTTATTAAATATTTGCATTAAAAAAACCTCAAAATAATTTCTGAATTTACATTAAAACTTTTCATATTATTATATAGGGTATTTTTGCAAATGCTATTGAATCACTAAGGCTATGACATAACAAATTTTTTAGGAGTGTGCATTATATTATTGTCCAGAAGTGCAGGATCATATACTTAATTTTTCATGCACCACCTATAAAAGTAGTGGGCATTATGTTGTCCGGTCTGTACGTCTGTCTGTTTATTCATCCTGTATGGGGTTAAAGTTTTTAGTCAAGGTAATTTACAAGAATTTGTGATCATAAATTTTGAAACTTGGTACACATGTTCATTATGATGAGAACCCTTTGAATTATATGCCAAATTAGGGACATGAATATATGAAATAACTCTTTTATATTCCAATTCCAGAAAGAATTTACCAATTAACCTGTGAGTAAAACAAATACAGGGAAATTGGTCCTACCTCTTCAAATAGTGTAAATAAATTTTGATTAATAATTTGGCAGACATTTGGTCTCTTGTGGAGAGTTGTCTCATTGGCAATCATACCACATCTTCTTTTTTATATTTCATATGAAATAAATGTCTTCTTGAAATGTAATTTTCTAAGATTTTCTATCATTCTTCTTCTGTGCTAAAAGGTAGTATTTCCAATAATATATAGGGAAGAAAACAATAAGATTTGATTTGTGCCAGAAAGGGGAGGCAACCGATGCAAACAGTATAAATTTTCTTTTTTTTTTCACATGAAAGTAAATATCTCCAAGAAAGAAAATTCAAACATCTCAACAAATATTTGTTGTGTTTTACATGTTAATCATGTTTATAAGGTTAATCATGTTTTACAGGTTTATCATATTTATCATGTTTATCATGAAAATTTAGAAGAATTTCTGGTGCAAATTTTATCATACCGTATAGTTTTGTTGATATTTTGTTTTCTGACCATCCAATTTTTTTACTTTTTGCTTGAAACAGCATAGATTGTAATGATTTACATGTATAACTATATCGTGATACGTTTTCTATAATTGAAATTGGGTTTTGTAGACTGAAAGATTATATCACAAAAGCAATTAACAACAATGATTGAAGCGTATCTAGCTTAAGTTTTTCTATATAGCATTGTTTATGTTTTTTTGTTTTTTTTATTATGACCTGTTTTTTTTTAGCACAAAGACAAATCATAGATTGTATTTATGTGTTTCATCAGTGGACGACAGACTTTCATTGTATTTATATATGTTTTCTCTAATTCTCATCCGATTTGTACTTTTCTGGACTGGTCAATTATTTTATTTAAATCAATGTGATGTTCGTTTGATCTGTTCTTCACTGGTCAAAACTCAATAATGACGTCAGATTTTCTTGCTTCCCTCTTTATTTCCTATTGTGACATCTTGAAAAAAGGTGACCATGTCTGATGACATCACATAGAAAGATCACGTCTTTTCGCAGATCATTGAATTTGTCTACTTATCGTCTTAAATCATTAGAGAAACAGATTCCAACACTGCATCATGTGCAATACGATATTTCTCCACTCTCAACAAATTAATTTTCAAATATTAAGATGTTCAGCGAGCCTCTTGTTTTAAATTTGATAATTCAACTGTCTTATGATATCACACTATAAAATGCAGTGGTAGAATCCACATTTATCAGTAAATATCAATTTGTTATATTTGAATGACAGTCATGTAGAATTGATTATCAGGTTCTGAGAGTATCATCTTAAAAAATGAAGCAACTGATTTTCAGTCAGAATATAGAATATTATTACATGTAAGGCCATGTAAGAAATATTAGTATTAGTAATATTTCTCAAATGTCCTTACATGTAATAGTATTAAATATTTTAGCATAATATTTTGGTGTTTAAGGATGTACTTAGGTCAGGTTTAGGAATTTTTGTTAGATGTTCAGACTCCTTGGTTTTTTTCCTACAAAACAGGGTAAAATATTTTGCCTCATAACACCCATTTTTCTTTTCATAGAAGACTTCAATAGCTCATAAAAGGTCATTTACCAAAATTAAAGCAGATTCTAAATTTCTTTTCTCTCGATTTGAGACCCAAATAATGCCAATGCTAAATATAATGTAAAAGTCAGAGTCAGCCTTTTCCCGCCATTTCAAAAAATAAGATATCTAAAGGAGCTCCATAACCTATCAATATTTTAAGCTTATTTTGTTCCTTAACTAATGCTCTTCTGACTTATAATATCAATTTAAATTTCTAGATTTTTTTAATTTCACCTGACTACATCCTTAATTTGTACATATAGAGAATACAATCCACCAACTACTTTTGTTTAATATAATGAACTTTGAACCTGGCATTTTTCTACATAATGCATCATATATTTTATTTTGAGAATAAATTAAAATTGAATTACTTGATTTTATCTTAGTGTCTTTTTTTCACAAAGATTTGGTGCCTATTTTGTGCTGCTGTTGTTTTATACTTTATTATTTTGTTGTCTTTTTGGGGGAAATTTCATGTGTTGTTACTAATATTTATCCTACACTGCATTTAAAAATACCGTCGGAAGTTCATTCCCTCATTGAAGATCAAAAACTTAAGTTTCATTTGTAAGTGTGAATGAGTTTCTGTTGTCCTAATTTACAACTAATAAAAAAATACCATTGAAAATTAAATATTGTAAAACAACTTATTTTCATGAGTAATACTGTAACTTCAGAAATTATTGCAAGTTTTTATTAAGGCGAATAACGCGACTTGGTGATTATTTCAATAATAAAAACTTTCATGTTGATATCTCATTCATATATTTGTATGCAGATTTACCTGAAATCACAATAATTAATCACACTTTTTTGTCCATTCTTCACAAATTGCAATTATGATACATGCATGCAATTATTTCTGAATTTACAGTATATATTTTTAGAGAGTTGAAAAGTAATTTGAATATAAACAGTTACAAATAGGAACTTCTTTTATATGGATACATCAAAAAAGTAAGAAAATAGTAGCAATAAATTGTTTTGCAAAGTCAACTAGGGACACGTTCACACTGCCCATGTGTGAAACATGTTTTGTGTACACAAGTCATAAGGTTTACATGTTTGAAATAGTAACTAATCAATTGTTTGCCATGCATTCAATTCTATATTCAAAAGTTAATTAATAATTAATAGGGTTTCCAAAATTTTTGCGGTATTTGTTTATAATCAATGTTAAAAATTTCAATTAAATTTCTTTCTAACTTGTTTAAGCCTCAATGTGAACACCGCCTTAGAAGAGCTAAAATCAAAAAAAGAATTCACTAATATAAGTTGGTTTACAGTATTTATTTACAGAAAAGCATGTTTAGGTGTGTTTTTCAATTCAAAAGTATTTTTGGAAAAGTCTATATTGTTTGTTGTCCGACATATATAGTTCACACTATGAATCAAGTAAAAAATTGTTACTTTCAACAGGTGATTCTGTTTAAAATCACCTTTGCTGGTGGAATAGTGAATCACAGTGCAATCAGATAATTGCTGGTGATTAAGATTACACTCTGAAATAACCTGCCATATAATTTAAAATTTAATATATAGAGAGAGATGTTTCAGAGTGAATCACCCACAATCACCTGCATTCACTGTGAAAAAAACCGCTATAGAGAGTGATTTTTAACTGATCCACCATGTGAAAACTGTATTGTATTCATCTTGATTTCATATGGATTATCTGTTGATGAATTAAAGAAAGAAAAAGAAATTAGCCTATTCTTA